ACAGCTCACTTTGCAGGCACTGTACAAACTGTCAATTTCAATTTCACAAGTGTCATTTTTCCTCTCTCACACATTCATGTGAAAACTCAGAGGCAGAAACCAGCCAAGAAGCCAAAATGTAATAAGTGCAGCAAAATTAAAACCAACAGAGCTTATTATACCGGAAGGAGGTAATGACTTTTTCTGGCTGACAATTAGCTGTTATAATGTGTATTAATTATCAAATTACTGAATTACAATTCTTAACCTCACACCAATTAAGCCTATTCTTGATGCCCCACACTGACATCAGTAGCATTACATCCAGAACAGAGTGGATAGAATCTTTAAAAAGCTGGTATTATGCCCCTTTTTGACCCATTTTTATAAATACTGTGCATTTTTTGTAGATTTCTCTAAATCCATTCTTACAAGCGGCCAAACAGAATAAGACTTAATGAATAATGAAAGTACTGTTACACTGGAGTGTAATGTGCTGCAGCTGGAAATGCAAGACATTATATAGAGATACAGTATATGAACCATAAACCAGACTCTGATCCTCAACCCACTGTTGCAGATTTCAACTGGATATTTCAAAAGGGTAAGATCATGTTTAAGTTTCCTATAAAATAAATTTATTAATATTTTTCAGATGTAGCCAGAGGCAGCTAGCTGGTTTAGCATGGCCATTTTCATTTAGTTAGTATGCTCTCTGTATAACGGTGCGCAGGGGGTGGGCTTGTCCTTGGATAGCTGATTTCACGGTTGGGTGTGACGTCCAGTAGGCTCAGTTTCAACACTGCCCGCTCTCGAGAAGGAAGATTCAAAATTTTAAATAACTTACAGCAGAGACAGAGTTTAGAGGACCACGGCCATCACTTTAGTCTGACTCAAAGCTCATTTAGCTTGTTTTTCATCACACCAGCAACCTTACATTTACTGTTTTGTGTTGCCTTAGCAAGCCAAATAAAACTCTCAGTACCATAGAAGGCCAGTCGACCAGTGGCTGTGTTCTTCCCCATCTTGTTCTCAGCCACACACTCGTATCCACCTGTATCGTCCTGCTGGAAGCTGGGGATTTCCAGCACGGCATTTGAGTACTTCATTTTAACTTTGCTTGGGAAGGGAATGCCGTTAGCCCTCTTCCATGTGATCTCTGGAACAGGGCTGGAAGAGACAGAGCAAGTAATCCTCAGTCAAGGTTCTGATTTAAGTTCCTTTGAACTTTTAAGATTGCTGCTCAGATTGCAGGTTTCTGTAACAATCCTGCAGTTAAGGTGTTTGATGGAGCTTGAAGCCTATTCACTGTATTGTGTGCAGATGAATGGTTCAGAGTTAACCCAATCTGACAACAAAACGAGCCGTCTCCCATGGCTTTCAGAGCAATCACGACTTGATGCCACACTCTTAGATATATAATTGCCCTAGTAACTTTACTATATAGAAATCCACAGATACCTTGTCTCTAATGAAAGACAGCGGGAGATTGAAAACATGCTTCAGGAAATTCGGCTTACTTCCCAAGGGCGAAACACTCCAGTGTTACTGTTGATCCTTTTGCGGCAGGTACATTGTCTGGGAAATTAACTTCTATTTTCGGCTCATATTCACCCATCACTCCTGTGAAGCATAAGCACAAGAACTTGCTCAGTCTTCCATTATTCATCATTTACAAGCAATATGGTTTGCATTATGGACCAAACAACAGCACTGTAAAAACTAACAGTGGAGAAAAAAAGGCACACGATCAAACAATCCCTCGTGGGTGAACTCATAGTAGTACATCACTTAAGTGTGCAGTCACCAGAGTGCAGTACAAATACCAGCGAGAAACCATTTAAATCTTCTCTTGGAGGAATAGGCAAAGCATATGTGAAATCTTCAGCTTGAGCTAGTTTGGCTGTTAATTCATTATTTTAAAGCTTGTGTGGGCAGATCCCAGCCTCTCCTGTTTTACTGTTAATATCAGTAAGAGTCAAGAAAATGGTTCGAAGGTGATGCGAAGGGATTAAATATATGCAGCTACATGTACAGTACAGTGAGTGGAAGCTAACTGGTTGAGCCGCCAGAACACTCAGTGTAATGGTCCAATCATGTATGGCTTATGTTTAATTCATTGCGAAGGCAATCTTTATGCACTCTTTCTATGAAAGCATAACAGAACAACAGACCACTGAAAACCAGCCTAAGAAATTCATGTGAAAGCACAGGTAAAGCTTTTAAAGGGAATGAGAATTATAAAGAAGCTAAGTCAGCAAAGACGAGGTTTGGATGCTTTGTTTGCTGACCTACATTGAGAAGCAGCTATTTACTTACAGGCTTTAGCACTCAGTGACTCAACTGTAGCGCAGCTCGACAGGACAAAGAGCACTCACACTAGCATGATGATTAAAAGGAAAGGCCCGTAACACGTGGCTGAAAGGCCTACTTGTCACATCATGGCCAGAAGCTGTGTCTTACCATCTGTCCTGAGGATCAGGGATGTAGGTGAGCTGTGAACTTTGCCCTTTGTGATGCTGTTCATCACGACACAGGTGTAGTTGCCCACATCAGAGGACTCCACCTTGGCAATGTAAAGGTTTCCTGTCTGCTGAGAGACGAACCGCCGATTGTCTTGCTGAACAAAGTATGGGTACTCATTGAAGACCCATGCATAAGTAAGATCTGCAGGACAAAAGTGCAGATATGAGCACATCATGGATTCAACATTTTAAATGTTCTTACAAGAATTATATGTTATTATAAGCAAACTAATTAACTATAGAAAACTTTTAGAAAGCTTTTAAACTTGTCAGAACATCTCCTAAGAAATAACTGTAGATGAAGGAGAGACAGTTGACCTCCTGAGGATGTTGGCGTTCCACAAAGTAACACCACTCCTTGTCCCTCTCGGACTGACACCGCACTTCTGGTGTGGACTTTGAAATGATCTAAGTCTGAGGGGGAAAAATATCTCATATCAGATTGGAACAAAGCAGAGTAAAAGCTTTCAGTAAGAGACCGGCACAAGGAACTGTCATGAGAAATGCACTTCGATAATGCCTAGAAGAATATTGTGCAGAAATTTCAACCCAGAACCAAAATGAGGTACTAGATATAAATTTAATGACATGGAAACTGGGTTGATAAGAACAAGTTATGGTGCCTCTAATGTACATCTCAAAGAAAGCAGAGTAATCATGTGAGAATAGGTTCCAGACCTGAGCCATAACACAACACTGTGGCAAAACTCTAATCTCAAAGTATAGGGCCAAACTCTACTAGTTTATTTTGTGATTTACAAAAACACACTGTGTGCAAAAAGGGAGAGTAATGTAACGTTTTACATTACTTAACAACAACTTCAAATAATTTGGGTCCTAACTTAAGCTTGTTGATCCAGAAGTAATCCTTACCTATTATTATCCAATTACATCAAATCCAAAATAGATGAGAGAGAAAACAACGAAAAAAACACAAAGTACAGTATAATAAACATGATATACTGGAGATGTACTACTTGGTATCCCTGCCCATGCACTGTATAAATCACAGACTTCGCTGCAATCATATTTAATGGAGAGCATTTTCACTTAAAGGTGAATATAGCTAAAAAAAAAAATTACATCAAGGTGTTATTTCTACAGAGACTCTCTGTTGATTTTTTATTTGGTTGAGCACCACAAATCTCAGCAGTGCATATCTTAAAACCTTGTCAAACAAAACCAAAAATATCTCCACGCTAGATACCATCACCAAGAGGAGGTGTTGTGATCTGCATGAAGAAAGCCTTCACTGACTTTTGAGATATTTGCTGATTTCACCATGAAAGATAAGAGATATGAAGTAAATCACCGTTTATATACAGTCTGACTTATTGTTTTTTTTTTTGTGGCAATGCAGTTGTAATATGAAGAAATGAACTGTAGCTTTTAGTCATTTGCATTACTCATCGGAATATTATGTTCCAGTCAGAGTAAACATCCGTTTCTTCATGCTCCGGGCCTTATTATGATATTCGTCAAACACTACTTACTTAGTTTGGCTGACTAGTTTGTCCCAGAGTAGATCCAATGATAAGCTGATGATTTTGATCAAGCTAAGTGATGCAAAGTGAAACAGTCATTCTTACTTTGCATGTGTGACCATAAATAAAGAACAGTCATCACATTAAAACTGCTCCGGTGTTACTTTATCATTTAATGTAGCTTCACAACAACGTTGCAGCACTCGGATAAATACTGTAAAACTCACCCACTCAGTTCAGAGTGCATCTGCATTATTTGCTAGCTGCAAATAAGACACAGACTTCCACTTAAATGCCATTTAAAAGAGTGACTAACTTACAGGCGAACTGCAGACTTGCTATCCTGCTGAGGATTGCTCCTACAGTGTTGTAGGCCATACACTGATACATCCCTGCATCCTGGTAGCGGTCCAGATTACTTATAATGAGGTTGCCCCCAGACAGATGCCGTCGGCGATCCAGGCCCAGATTTATGAGAGTCCCATTCAGTGACCATCTGCGGGGGCAAAGACACCATCAGTCCCTGGCAAAACACACTGTCCACTGCTTTCTCTCAACCCAGGTGGTCTGACAGGAGGTGAGTGGAGAACGCTACTCACTGCGGTGACTCACTTGAAGTAAGAATAATATAGATCTGTGCCGGTGTTGAGGAATTCACAGGCCTACAGGTGGAACAGCCTGAACTTCACAGTTATGAGTTTTGCCATTAATTCCTTTTCCTGCCATGCTTCAACTTGGCCTCTGCAGTCTTAGACACATTTTTATTTTCTTTACAGCCCTGCATTCTTGTCAACTGACATTTTATGACAAATATTATTGGTACTTTCTTGCTTCTACCTATCATACCTTGCATACATTATGTTTCACTATTGTTGTATTTTTTCTTTCTAACCTGATAATGCTGCAGTGTCCATATATTCTAGTGGTCTTTGCCATGTCTTTACATAACCCTTAAAATGTTAATTTCTTATTTATATTGTATTTTTCTGCTTTTATTCTGCTTTTCTTTATTCTGCTGTGTCACCATTCAGTGCTGCAGCTCTTCAATTATCCCCGCGGGGATCATTAAAGTTCAAACTTAGAGTATCATACACAAAGCTGTCCTCTGCTATTTAATTGAAGCAGAAGATAAAGGTTTTAGAAGTCATCCTAGATATTATCATTTGTCTAACCATAATCACCTCTTCTCACTCACATTATATTTACATAATGTGACATTATTCCACCTTTGTCTTGTCATTAGGACAAAACATTAGCACTTGGTAAGAGGTAACAATGGGTTGATGTAACAAAGAGTGCCTTTAACTCTCTTTTTCACCTTCCATTACTTGCTTCACACACTTAGCAGGCTTGGGAGTAAAAAAAAAATAATGATACTTTGCCCAGAAGGTTCAGACTGCACTATCAAATAAATGAGACAGCTCTTAAAAACACGAGTTAATTCAATGATTTAAACAAATCTCATTATTCAGTGACACAAAAATCTTTCTCTGCCGCCCTAACACTCTTTTTAAACGCTGTTCAAAAATTGAGACACTTTTCAAGAATGTTCCATAATTTTTCTCAAGGCATTAAAAACCACCTTCTTTACTTCTGTGTTCCTTAAGTGGAAATGAAAGGCATGAAGGCCATAATGACCAACCTCCTGAAAGCTTCTACGTCTAACCTTCAAATAAAATTTTAAACACTACATCCAAACCAGAGTGCTGCCATATTCTACACATTTATTCTAGATAGCTGTGTCACTGCATGACATCAGCTCTAACTTGGATTGGATCGGCTGGTGGCAGATGCTCGTGTGTGTTTAGGTGTCTGTTTTCTCTTGCATGTATTCAGCTTTTTATCCCTGAGTCACCGTTTTCATCTCTTTCTGACCTGCTCTGAAGTGCCTCTGCTGTTCAGCGGTGCCCTGAACACTGGGGCGGGTAACCGAATAGCAACTCCAAACCTGAATTACTCTGCTTGAGAGTCGTTTTGTGAACACATGTTGTCTAACTGTCTGAGCACAGACAAACCTGCGTATTTCCAGATGGTCCAGCAGTCAAGAGCCATGGGCTTCAAACCTCAGGTCAAGTAAAGGTTAGACAAGCCATCCTTGGGTTAGGTAAAAAAAAAAAAAAAACTCATATGGCATTACTTTTATGACCTGATGTGAGAGCATGCTTTTCTCTCATATCTTTATGAGTGACAGGACTGGCAGAGGAAAGAAAAAATGAGGAAAGAAGAGAAGGGGGAGGGAGGGATCAGTGGAGCCCATTTACACTTCAAGAGAGGAGCCAGAGAGGTGCTGAGGGCATGCGGAGCTTAGCACAGGCAGTTTGACAAGACGCCACATTAAACATGTTCATCTCACCTTTAATCAGTGCACAAAAATACTTGGTTTTAGGTGAGGAAGGTGAAAAGCCTGAAATAATGAGCATATGTAATCCGCACTACTATCGTTTGGCTCATCTGTGCCGGCTGTGCTGAGGTAATTTTACTGTTGAACACCAAAGAAACTGGGAATCAATACCTGTTGGTGCCAACTGGTGTCCAGCAACCTGCATTGGTCTCATGGCATTTTATAAGAGGAGACGATTATTAAGATGCTACGCGTGTGTCACTAAGATATTATCTGGCAAGACAAGCGGCAGATTGGCAGCGTGTTAGTCAATATGCATTAGTAAAGCCATAATGATGCCACTGCTTAGAGTGTCTGTGTGCATTTCAATGTTATTGGGAGAAAATTAATAAGGGAGAAAAAGACCTTTCTACTCCACATGAAAAATATTGCCTTGGAAATTACAAAATCTTATTTACAGCACCAATAACTGACATGGGTTTTGTATAAATGGGAAGCTATAAGGCTGACAGCAATGGAAAACATACCTTTATTTGAATGGTCTCTTACCTGTATTGAGGAGGTGGTGTTCCCTTAGCATCACAAGTCAAAGTAGCTTCTTCTTCTATGGAGTCAACAGGAATGAACAAATCACCAGGCTCCATCCTCCATTTTGGACCATGGCATGATCCACTGTCCAGACAATCTGTCAGAGAAATAGTCAGTCTGAACATAAAGACAGAAAAAGGTTCTATTTGGATAAAGCCAGTCTTCTTTAATTCCCTGTTCTTCTGGGGGAAACATGATATTTGGGCCTAACAGTCAGACGCTTTCCAATTAAGGGAGGTTTGACATTATTAAACATGGGAAGTGACTCAATACATGACTCAATATTCTTGAGCCGATGAGATTCTTCTGAACGAATCAACTGGATGAAATAAAGCACCAGAGAATATGCCACTGTATCAGGATGCCACAATTACATTTTCACATGCTAAAAAAGAAAATATGATTTTTTTTTTAAATGAATCGTTGGTAAACTGTTGCACATCATATGTCAAAAAAGTAATGCTTTAATATGCCATGAATTTAAAGCACCAAACCTTGGTTTTTACGTAATCACATTTTTTACTAAGTGCTTGGGAAAAGATTATAAAAGGAAATGAAGTATCTTTCCATCAGGCTACATTTAAAGGAAGAAGAAGATAGAAAGCTTTGTGCTTGTGTTGTGAATGGAAGTCAATACTCAGCGGTGTTCCTGTAAACCTGGGCCATCCTATCGCTCCTGACACTGACAAAATGTTCAGTTCTTCAGCTATAATTCCACAACTGTAAATGTCCAAAGTTAAAAGAATCATTACTCCTATAAAAAGGTGGTTTACCTGCCAGACTGTCGATGACTGATAACAGTAGAAGCTGTATCCATGGCAACGTCATCTTTGGCAGCCAAGGGTAAATGAAACTTTCATCCAATAAGCTTTAAAATGGCTCTGGTGAGAGAGGAGAACTTGACCTGTTGGAATGGGAATTCTGTTGTCAAATACCAAACTCAGCGGACCTTAATATTGTTATCCCACTTTTAATATTATGCCTTTTCATCACATATCAGCAGAAGCCAGAGGAAGTGGAAGCATTTTTAGTGGGAAATACAGTATGATTACAATAAAAATTATTGTGAAGTTTAGTTTGGGAAGTGTCTCATTTCTTCTGTCCATCCTCACATTTCATAATCAATGAAGATCTAGACAGTTTCACTTTGTGCCATGTGGTGTGGCCAACTTGCACTCTGAGATGTCTGAGGGTGATACCAGAGGCATACGGGAAGAGGCCCATGCCAATCTATTAGAGGAGCAACCAACGCCTAAGCTCATCCTTCACTTGGATGGATTCACTCTCTGGTTGCCCGAGGAAACTTGGACCTGGGAATTGGGTGCCATCCAATCAATTAGATTCACCCACAGCAGCATGTGTCTCCCCACATGCTGGGGTGTATCAAGACAGCCTGATGAGGAAGCCATTCCACCCAGGTCCATAATCAAGGGCAAGTGTCTGTCTGCTCGAAGCATGTGTTACAAATTGTGATGCGACGGCTTCTTGCAGGAGACTGAGCGAGTAATGATGCAATTATGAAATGTCAAACATCCACAAATGGTGGAAGCGGCAATAACACAGCAGTTACACGTGCAGAGTCTATGCAAATCTGTGTACATTAGCGTGCACCTGCATGGACGTATCCACAAACACAAGCCACAATGCACACACAAAAACACACACAAAAGATGTTTCTTCAAGAGGTGTTCAAGATCTATTAAGGGCAGAGACAGACAATAACACCAATCTGCTAAATGTCACACGACCAACACACACCGACACATCAAACTCACTTTCTCACAGCGTACAACAAATATAACACCCTGCCGCCGCACAAAAATACACTTTTTCTCCATTAAGAAGACATAAGCCGTGACGTGTGGCTCATTTGTGGTCTAATCCCGAGGCAAGCTTGGTTCAGAGCACTACTTACGGAGGGTCTAATTGTTTGTCAGCTGCCTGGATGTCAAATCAGACACGTGGGGTCTCAGCTGGGATTCTCTTCCCTACCTTTCATGTGTACTCAGGCATTTTTCTTCCCTCAAAGTCTGCAAAATTGGATTGGTATGCTCTCTCAGGAAGACTTCTGCATGCCATACCTCAATGACAGGGCCACAGTGTGCAAACAGCTGGCACCTTAGGACTGAGGATTGGTGTGTGGAAGGTACAGTGGCTATTACACTACTGTCGACTTTGCATGTTATGGTCTGCATTTGTAATGGGATTTTGTCAAGAACGGCACAGTGCGCAGCTGATGCCATGTGTTCCTTTTTCTATTATATAGCTAATAAATCACTTACAACTGCAAAATACAGTTTCAGAATTCCATTAGCAATATTACACAGAGCAGATTACTCAGCGATTCACATGTCCATACTGTGTAAGATTGTTCATACATGCACACTCACAAATGCATGGCTACAAGCATGTATGCACCTGGCCGCCCACTCTCGCACACAGGTTCTCAGTTTGCGCTCATGGACAGTGATGCTATGACTGTGATAGAAGGTGGTGGAAAAGCTTCACTGGGTGAATCACTCTCAATCAAGGAGGGTACACACACACACACAAACAAAATAATGTATAATCACGACATCTACCACCTCCATCACACTCCGCTTCCATCCAAGTAACATGCTGGCTGAACAAAAAGCCCAGCTGGAGGAGTGGGAGTGGACTTTTAAGGCCCGAGATGCATTCATCACAGATATTCCAGCTGACATTGTGTCATACCACCATGCAATTACCTGGTGAATGTTACAGGGTAGAAAAGGGGTGTGTGTGTGTGTGTGTGTGTGTGTGTGCGTTTACGTGCGAGTGTGCTTGCACCTTTTTCATGCACTGTTTCTCACTAGGCATAAAGGCAACCTCTACCACAACACTTCTGGAGGTTTGCTGGGGGCATTTGTCTATTTATTTATTTTTACTTTTAATACCTTTGGAACAGGGTCTCTGATTTCTTTTCGATTTGCCAGTGCATGCAAGTACCACAAGTCCAAGTCCAACTCCACCCAGCCCTAAAATGGGTTGGTGTGGTGTGTTGGCCCTACAGCTACACATTACAGAGGGCGAGTTGAAGTGAAGCTTCCCATCACAGCGGACAGACAGGAACCACAGAAGCAGTTAGAAGGTAGCTACCACATGTGACTAAGGTAACTATCTCTACATCTGTTTAACGAAGCAAGACCCGGCTCAGCCAAAACAACACCTGATTAAAAATTAAAACAGAAAACACCAAGATGCGCTTGTTTGCATGTCCCCTCCAATATCAGACTACTCGGAGTGGAGGAATTGGCTGCAGCTGGGAGGGCACCTCGTTGCTCCAGGCTAAAACAAACCTTTTTCAATCAAATACATGATGTTAGGAATTGATGAGCCAATTCGGGATAGTAGACAAGACAGGCCGATATGTGAGCCCGGTAGAGTGAATAAATATGGTAGTATATAAACATCAGTGTAAATAATGCAGCTTTCTGCATGTGTGCACGTTCACAATTGGAAAGCGCGTTCATGGGATATATATTATTTGTCTTACCTCCTATCTTGAAATATCTTGAGACCAGCAAATCCAACCCTCAGTGAAAAAGCGTCAGATTGATCCTCCATGGAAACCTTCTTAGGAAGATTTCGGTCACAATCGCAAGGTCGTTCATTCAGGTGAAACTAAGCCGGTGGTCAGTCAGAGATAACGGGTATCGCAGGAAGCATAAACACACGCGTTTCATATCGCTGCTCTCCCGCTTCCTCTCCACTCCCCACCAAAAAGGAAAAAACCACACACACACACACACACACACACACACACCAGCGCGTTTACACACACAACACCCACGTTGTTTGCTGAATCACATCTGAAACATCTTCAGTTAAGAGGTTCGACTCTCGCCCCTGTTTACGCTCTCAAATCCAACACGTGTAGGTCTTAAATTGGGCCCGAAAAGGAATCTTGCGGAGAAGATTTATTATGCGCATCAAGTCAGCTTCCCCCTGCGAAGGAGAAGTGGGCTGGAGGAGAGGAGGCGATAGAGCAACTAGAGCCAGCTGCGCTGGGATGGGAAGGTGCGGGAAGGAGGAAGGCGCACCTGGCGGAGATCTGCGCCCTCCTGCGTCAGACCGCAGCCATGCAACAAAACGGTGA